TAGTAAGTGACTAGTTTATATACTGACAACATAGGGTCACTTCAGGTGCTCCCCCACCCCTGGATCCCCCCCTGGGCCTCACTCACCATTTATCCCCATCTGATAAAACCTCCTTAAAATGTGGATTAGAGTGTAGTCACATCATCTTATCCACCTTTTGAGCCTCTGCTTCTCTGTGTGTTCAGTATGGCTGTGATTTGCGGTGTCGGGACGCTCAGGGCCTGACAGCGTTGGCTCTGGCTCGCAGCGCTGGCAGCCAGGAGTGCGTCGACATCCTGCTCCAGTATGGATGCCCAAACGAACCGGCCCCCTCCATCGCCGCAATGGTCGGCTTCGCAGCATCCTCCGCATCCAGCTTTCCTGTTGCCATGGCGCCGAGTCTGACGGTTGCCACGACGCTCAAGATCTCACACAGGAGCGGCGGCACCAGTTTGAGCTACAGCACGTCTAGAAGAGCAGTGTCATAATGAATAATGTGGTGTGGTGTAACGTGTGTGTGTGTGTGTGTGTGTGTGTGTGTGTGTGTGTGTGTGTGTGTGTGTGTGTGTCAGGGATGGAAACACACTGGTAGTAACATAGGCACATTCAGTCTGCTTGAATGATTTAACCAAAACAAAACAAAAAATTCCTGACCACATGCGACATGATTCAGATTCCTCTGCATTCAGACTTCATAGGAATGTATTGCACTGTATACCAGCGGGTATGATTCACTTTTCATCATGCAGTTGATATTCCACCAGGTTTGAATATTGACTCTGTTACAAATGCAGTATATTTACTCTGTTGAGAATGGAAAGCTGCCTTTGGCCTCAAACAGCTTAGCTGAGCATCTGGAGCCCAGAAGTAAAGAGCTGCAATAAGTTTACTATTTGAGAGATGGACGTCTCTGTTTTTCCGACTCTGTCTCGCTTGAAATCCCAAACATCAAACACATCCATACTTCTTCCTAACTTTATTGACCATGAATGTCTGTTTGAAATTCAGAGTGTGTATACTGTGTTGCCTTCGACACAGCTGGTTGTTGACTGCGAAAATAATGTCATGTGAGTTGATTTAAGAAAAAGGAAAAAAAAACTTTACAATGGCTAAAAAACAAAAGGTTTTAAAGAGATTCAAAAATAACTGTATAGAGATAGATTGATAAAATACTATAATATTCTACAAATTTAAAAGTGCTTCATTTTGCAGATTGTTATTGTACGATTTGTACACTTGGTTGTGTGTATAAAAGTCAAAAGGTTAACTATAGCTGTTCAGAGATTAACTGCACAGCCTCTTGTGTTGGTTTTCCTTCGACTGAGATTTTTATGTTACGTCTGCATCACTGTGTGTGTGACGTAAACACAGTACATGATGTGTGTGTCATGACAGCAGGTAATTATTAAGAAGAGTGTGTAAACGAAGATGTGAGATGGCTTGATTTTTGAATGTATACGAAGATTAGCATTTCAAACACTGACATGTGTTTTCAAGACAATATTCCTGTCGTGATGAACAGATCCAAGGTTCTGATCTATAAAACTGGGCCTTTGAATGATGACGATTACATTTGCAAGTGGCTGAAAATCAACATGAAATAGAGGCATGTTGCCCCAAATTCACTACTTTTAAAAATGCATAAAAAACAACTGTCCTGCAGAACTGTATGTATTTATTTTGTGTAGATCTGAAGACTCTGCTGAGTGTACTTGTCTGTGATGTAAGCATCTCTCTCCATTTGTATTTTTATACCCATGGAATGATTCATAGGGCATTCATCCATTATCAATATACCAAGGCTACTGCTCAAGCTGTGGTGCTTTGTCAGAGTTGTGTGTGTTTTTCTGTGTCGGGGCTCTTAGCAAACCTTTTATTATTTCAAAGTATATAAGTGTTATATCTTTGCCTTATTTGAAAACTTAACAATCTATAGAGTTTACTCCCATGAGGCTCCAGCACATTCAGCGTGGTTGCATCACCGAGCCGAGAGCGCGTTGCCTCGAACAGGTGGAGTTCACCAGTAGCTGTTGGTCATCACTTAACTCTGTTCTACCATTTAAACATGAGATCTTCTGGATCAGACCAGTTCTTTCTAAAGGCCCCTACTGGCTCGGACCTACTTTTTTTTCTAGGTCAAAGTCTTTTTTATCTTATCACACTATGTCTGCGATGGTTTCAGAATTATGGATTCACTGTAGTAATGTTTTTTCTGTGCAAACGTGACACAACAAACACATTGACTCGAAGGCAACATCAGCTCTGGTGCCAACATGTGGATGTTGTGCAGATTTCTATATGTTGGGGTTCAGGAACCATAGTAAAATATAGAAAACATGAGGTTGATATCTATGATATAGAATAATGATATATGAATGATACAGATATATAGAAAAAGCCCTTGGTTATAACCATCAAAGTACCAAAAGAAAATGTGCACAGAAAAAAGAGGAAAACTCATCATCAACAACTTCTAGAAAGAGATGCACCTCATTGTTAATGGTTTCCTTGAAAACCTCAAGGCCAGATGACTATTGTAATTCGATAAATCAAATTGCATTTGCAGAGATGCCCCCGAGAGTTCAGATGATGTGTTTTGAAACCAGGGTTAAACTCCACTGTAATTGGATGAGCTGTAGCCATAAACTGAAAATAACACCAGGGCCGTGTATGTGCTTGTTATGGATTGCGATGCATGAAAGAGGCAAAGCAGTTGTGTGTTTTCAGTTTAATACAGACATTGATTCAAGCCACCTCTTTGTGTTGTAAAACTCTTTGGCTCTGGAAAGTGTACATGAACCCGAAAAGACCAAGATGTTTTACTCAGAGGTTATTTAGCCTAACATTTGTTATCATGATTGTTGATGTCTTACATGAAAAAGAAAAATTCATTCAGAGTTTAATGTTGATGTTGGACAAAGTTCCATTTTTGTTGGTCTTTTTATGCTGTTTTAGAGCTCGACATTAATCGGTAGTATGTTTATCTTTTTGGGTTCATTTTAGACAATTTTTATACAACATGACTCTGCTCTGCAGCGAGTTTTGAAAACTAAACTGAGATTGAAAGCAGAATGGGTTCAACAGCAGAGTGTCTAAAATCGCTCATTGCTTTCAAACCATATTGAAAGAAAATAATCTGCAAAACGAATGAATGTACGATGATGATAAGCAGAGATGATCCGCTTCATCTTGAAAATAAAACTAAAATTCCCTTCCGCTCACTTAATAAAGCGAGGCTGCTGTGAATATGCCCGTATTCTGTTTGTTTATTTTGAATAAATAGTTGAAATAATCTTACATTCACTCTCACAATCTTCTCTCCTCAGCTTCCTCCAGCTCCTCTGCCTGTTTGTCCACTCTGCTGAGAAATCCTGGTGATAATCTAAGAGGGGTATTCAGGAATATGTGCCAGGAGGACTGGGACAGAGGACAAAAATAAGGACAAATATTAATGATGTGTTTTAAAGGAGCACATGTCCTGTTAGAGTCTCTGAGCCGTCTGAACCACAGACACAGAGGGGGAGTGTCGCCGTTCAGCTCCACTGGAGATGTGCAAGATAAACCTTTTGGATTCAGACTTTCAAAATGCAAATAAAACAACACAATGTGTGCTTACATCTATCTCACACATCAACAATTCACAGAAGCTAAAGTGTTTCCAGAGGCAGCTCACTGAGGTCACAGGTCAGTGGAGCGTTTAATAGTCTGATTGTGGAAACTGGTAAATGGTTTTGTGGAAATTGAATTTAATACACATAATCAGAGTATTATTACAGATAGTACATTCTTCAATATAAGCAATGTTTTCAATGGCTTTACCTTTTCATTTAATAATCACATAAAAGATTTTTAACCATTTGATTTTCCTTTTGACATACATCATGTGCTAAATATGGATGCTAACATTAGTCAGGTTGTATATAGTGCTTCATTTAGTCAAAACTTTAATTTCATGTAAAGGTTCAGTGTGTAAGATTTAGGTGAAGCGAGTTTTGGGCAGAAATTGAATATAAAATAATCCTAGTGATTTTTTCACTGGTGTGTTTCATCTAAATTGTATGAATTGTTGTTTTCTTTACCATAGAATGGGCCCTTTATATTTACATGGAGGGGGGTCCTCTCTGTGGAGGCTGCCACAGTTTTTTACTGTCGTTCAAACTGAAGTTCACTACAGGTTCTCTTTCATGTTGGGAAGGGGAGGGTGAGATGAGGAGTATTCAGCTGCAACATGCAACTTTACCTCTAGATGTCACTAAATTCTACACACCGAACCTTTAAATCTGCACTTGACAACACTAGATGCAAAAACTGCAGAGGAATCTGGATCAGGGGGCTGGTCCAGATTTTTTTTCTTTAACATTGTGAGATATTTAAAGATTTCTCAGAGTATAATTCATAGATCTTAATGGGAAAAAACAAGCATATAGGGGACTGACATTTATGAGGTGTGGAATTTGGTGCAACTCTAAATAAAAATGTAGAGAATTTAAATGTAGTTTTGACTGTTGGGCCTTGGAGATATAAACTACTGAGTGACATTCTTATTCCTAACAGAAACCCTGTAGAATTGCCCAGATAGCTCAAATCATGTCTCTATGCCAAGTGTTGTTATTGATAAAGAAACATTCACAGATCAATATTTAAAAGCAAAACAGGAAAGCAGTGGAGACTGACTGCAGGAAAGCTGGATGGTTTAGGGCCGAACATGCCAAGGAAACATGTTTTTCTTATCACCTGCTCCCCCGGTGGCCACTAAAGAAGACACTTATGATAGAGGTGTTAACTTAACACCTTAAATGGTTTCTGCAAATCTGTGAAAGTAAAAACAAAAGACAACAGCTACACTTTCCTTCCAGTCTGCACATTCCACTTCTTCACTCAAACCACTACCACAATGTGGACACAGTGCAGAATAACATGGTTGGTAAATAAAAGAGCATATTAATCATCTAATGGTGAAGTTTCAATGTTGCCTGTTGTTGATTTGATTGATTGTATGATGGGACTTCTCATTAAACGGTGTGGACTCTGAGCTAGGCAAAGATCTTGGTGATGAACTCTCGGAAACGTTTGGCATACTGCTCTGGATGAACTGTGGAGATTTCTGCTCCCGCCTGCAGAAAACACAAACAGAGACACAGAAGATAGGAGGTGAAGAAGAAAGTGAGAGAAACCTTTTACACTTTGCAGGAGAGAGAAGTAAAGCGAGCGTACGAAGCAATCCCTTTACACAACCCTGATCTCTCACCCCGTGTTTGACAGCCTTGGCAGCATGAGCGGCTTTCTTCCTGGTGTCGTACTGTGTCAGCACGTCAATCAGGCCCATAAAATACACCTCTCTCTGGGGCGCACCTACAAGGGAGTGATTCACAGCATCGGGTGGGTGATATCGATCTGCACGTATACAATCTGAACTGCTGCAGCCCAGTGTGAGGTGAGATTGGGATGTATTAGAGCCTAGGGATAGCTCAGCTGTCAGGACTCACCTACAGTGCTCTGAATGGCATACACATCCACATAAGGGTCAAACTCCCCAGCACCCATTGGTTTGAAAGAGTTCATGTAGCCAGCGATGCCCTGAGGTGAAGCCAGGCCATTTTCATCCTCCTCTTCCTCTTCATAGGGAAGCCCTGTCTCCTCCTCCTCCTCCTCCTCCTCCTCATCCTCCTCCCTCTCAGCCCGCTCTACATCATGGATGCCCAGCAGCAGACTGTAGTCCATCATCCTCATATGCACCAGAAACTGCAGACACACACACACACACACACACACACACACACACACANCACACACACACACACACACACACACACACACACACACACATTCGTCATATCAAAGGAAAACTATGGCGGCATCCATCCCTCAGACTCTCCTTCTTACCTCAGTGTCTCTGTTGAGTTTGTCCATGATCTTCTCTTTCTCCTCATCGCTCACATAAACCTTTTGCATGTTATTCCTGAAGTCCACATCCTTATAGGTGGGCAGCTCTTTCACCTGGAAACAGCAGAATGAAGCTCCCATTCTTGTGAACACAATATCTCAAGATTGCCAGCAGGGAATTTTTTCAAATTTGGTACAAACGTTCAGTTGGACTCATGGATGAACTGATGAGAATTTGGAAATGGAATGTTACCGTGACCTTACAAAACACCTTCTTGCCTTGTGAATGTAGCATTGCAGGAAAACCTCTTTGTATTGGGTTCAAATGTTCACACATTTGCAGCCTTATGAACATTGGGAATCCTTTTAAATTTGGTGCTAACGTTCACTCACACTCATGGATTAACTAATTATTTCAAACTACAACTACAAATTCTGACCAGTTGTCACCTGGACTCAAGGATTAATTGATTTGATTTCAGTGGTCAAGGGTTACAGTGACCTTGTATTATTGTACATATTATACAATATATAATACAAGGCTTTGATGATGTTTTTTCACATCAGTCGCCCTATTTCCAGCGACATAAAAGCCAAATGATTTAACCACAAAAATTGTTTTCCATACCCACACAGTTGGAAACAATCAAAGATTCACCACAGCTCTGCAGTTCTATAAACTCCCTCCAGTCAAGCAATTCTTTCGCAGCAGGTTAGAGTGAATCGTTCCTCTCCACTGTCTCCATGTTCGTGCTCATTGTGAGAGCTGTTAGGATTTTCTCTATGATACTGTAAGGTCTGTGCCTTGCTTTGTTGTATTGCCTGAGATAATCATAACTTGAACACACTGCACAATCACACCTTCAGAAAGGATGTGGAGCCTCAGAGGAGCCCTCAGCTACAAACGCAGGATCTAATTCATTATCTTTAAAAGGAATCAAACAGAGCAGGCTGATATGAATATTGAAATATTTTTCAATTTATTAATCTTCACTTAGCGAATACTCACCTTCTCTTTAAAGCTTGCCTCACGAGACACCAGTGAGCCCTGAGGAAAGATAGGACAGTGACTGATAATTATTATCCTGACTCATCAATCACAAGCTCCTGTAACACGATACGTTAAGGAATTACATAAATTCAAACAATTAAAGGTTCTATGTGTCGAATGATTTACTGCAACAACAGGATATTTCAAGTTGGATCATTTAAATCTCTCTGGACAGCACTTGACTGTTGACAACACTCAATAAATTCTGATGAGGGTCTGTTGCATAAAGAAATCTGAATCCTCATCTCGCTGCACGTCTCCTGCAGGCTTTACCTTGAGGTCGTACTTCCTGTGCACATGCAGTCTGTGGCTGAACACATTCCTCATGACTAACAGGTAGGTGTCCTCGCTCTCCACTGTGACTCTGTACATGGCCAGGAACTGAGGGAGCAGGGTACTCCTGTGGCAGGTGACGATGTGCTGGAAGAGAACAGCAGTGAATGAGCGATGAAGGAAGTGTGAACACAGCAGCGTATAAATGAAGGTGCTACCGTGTTTGGTTAAATTTTAGATGATCCTTCATTGTCCAGGCATAAATAAATAGTTGTTCGACAAAAAGAAATTCCTAACTCAAACACCCAGAGGAAGTATTTACAACTAGGGGTGCAAATTCACAAGCATGTAGGTGACAAGCTCCACATTTCTGCCAAGGTTTTACACTAACAAGTGGTGGTAATGAACCAAAGAACACAATGAGATGCCAAAAAGGGAAAGGAGAGGACTGCTGGTAGGTTATTATAACCTGTGTAACAGATAATAATCAACAAAAATAAAAATCTTTATCATTTCATTTAGTTATGAATAATAAGGGATTTATCAGGCCATAATGAAACCAATAAGG